GGGGGGGGGTGCAGGCATCAAGGGGGGGGTGCAGGCATCAAGGGGGGGTGCAGGCATCAAGGGGGGGTGCAGGCATCAAGGGGGGGGGTGCAGGCATCAAGGGGGGGTGCAGGCATCAAGGGGGGGTGCAGGCATCAAGGGGGGGGTGCAGGCATCAAGGGGGGGGGTGCAGGCATCAAGGGGGGGGGGTGCAGGCATCAAGGGGGGGGGGGGGTGCAGGCATCAAGGGGGGGGGTGCAGGCATCAAGGGGGGGGTGCAGGCATCAAGGGGGGGGTGCAGGCATCAAGGGGGGGTGCAGGCATCAAGGGGGGGGTGCAGGCATCAAGGGGGGGTGCAGGTATCAAGGGGAGGGTGCAGGCATCATGCAGTGCAGGCATCGGGGGGGGGGGGAGGAGGAGTGCAGGCATCGGGGGGGGGGAGGAGTGCAGGCATCGGGGGGGGAGGAGTGCAGGCATCGGGGGGGGGGGTGCAGGCATCAGTGGGGAGGGGTGCAGGCATCACGGGGGTGGGGGTGCAGGCATCGGGGGATCGGGGGGGGGGTGCAGGCATCGGGGGAGGGGTGCAGGCATCGGGGGAGGGGTGCAGGCATTGGGGGGGGGGGGGGTGCAGGCATCAAGGGGGGGGGTGCAGGCATCAAGGGGGGGGGGGCAGGCATCAAGGGGGGGGGTGCAGGCATCAAGGGGGGGGGTGCAGGCATCAAGGGGGGGGGGTGCAGGCATCAAGGGGGGTTGCAGGCATCAAGGGGGGGGGGTGCAGGCATCAAGGGGGGGTGCAGGCATCAAGGGGGGGTGCAGGCATCAAGGGGGGGTGCAGGCATCAAAGGGGGGGGTGCAGGCATCAAAGGGGGGGGTGCAGGCATCAAAGGGGGGGGGTGCAGGCATCAAAGGGGGGGTGCAGGCATCAAAGGGGGGGGGGTGCAGGCATCAAAGGGGGGGTGCAGGCATCAAGGGGGGGTGCAGGCATCAAAGGGGGGGTGCAGGCATCAAAGGGGGGGTGCAGGCATCAAAGGGGGGGTGCAGGCATCAAAGGGGGGGGTGCAGGCATCAAGGGGGGGTGCAGGCATCAAGGGGGGTGCAGGCATCAAGGGGGGGGGTGCAGGCATCAAAGGGGGGGGGGTGCAGGCATCAAAGGGGGGGGGTGCAGGCATCAAAGGGGGGGTGCAGGCATCAAAGGGGGGGGGGGTGCAGGCATCAAAGGGGGGGGGGTGCAGGCATCAAAGGGGGGGGGGTGCAGGCATCAAAGGGGGGGGTGCAGGCATCAAAGGGGGGGGTGCAGGCATCAAAGGGGGGGGGTGCAGGCATCAAAGGGGGGGGGTGCAGGCATCAAAGGGGGGGGGGGGTGCAGGCATCAAAGGGGGGGGGGTGCAGGCATCAAAGGGGGGGGGGTGCAGGCATCAAAGGGGGGGGGTGCAGGGATCGGGGGGGGGGGGTGTAGGCATCGGGGGGGTGTAGGCATCGGGGGGGTGTAGGCATCGGGGGGGGGGGGTAGGCATCGGGGGGGGTGTAGGCATCGGGGGGGGTGTAGGCATCGGGGGGGGTGTAGGCATCGGGGGGGGGGTGTAGGCATCGGGGGGGGGGGTGTAGGCATCGGGGGGGGGGTGTAGGCATCGGGGGGGGTGTAGGCATCGGGGGGGGTGTAGGCATCGGGGGGGGTGTAGGCATCGGGGGGGGGTGTAGGCATCGGGGGGGGTGTAGGCATCGGGGGGGGTGTAGGCATCGGGGGGGGTGTAGGCATCGGGGGGGGGTGTAGGCATCGGGGGGGGGGGAGGGGTGCAGGCATCAGGGGGGGAGGGGTGCAGGCATCAGGGGGGGAGGGGTGCAGGCATCAGGGGGGAGGGGTGCAGGCATCAGGGGGGGAGGGGTGCAGGCATCAGGGGGGGAGGGGTGCAGGCATCAGGGGGGGAGGGGTTGTGCAGGCATCAGGGGGAAGTGTATGAATCAGGGGTACTGTGTGAATTAGGGGGTACTGTGTGAATTAGGGGTACTGTGTGAATTAGGGGTAGTACTGTGTGAATTAGGGATACTATGTGAATTAGGGGTACTGTGTGAATTAGGGGTACTGTATGAATTAGAAGTACTGTATGAATTAGGGGTACTTTGGTAGGTATTGGTACTTTAGGGGTATTAGGAGTACTGTATGATACCTGGACGATGGGGTTCTGGGAGTTCTTCTCCTCCCTAGCCCGGTCCGAGGCCAATCTTGACTTGTGATGAATTAGGAATAATGTATAAATTAGGGGTACTGTATGGATCTGGGGTACTGCATGGATCTGGGGTACTGTATGGATCTGGGGGTACTGTATGGATCTGGGGGTACTGTATGGATCTGGGGGGTACTGTATGGATCTGGGGGGTACTGTATGGATCTGGGGGGTACTGTATGGATCTGGGGTACTGTGTGGATCTGGGGGGGTACTGAATGGATCTGGGGGGGTACTGAATGGATCTGGGGTACTGTATGCATCTGGGGTACTGTATGCATCTGGAGTAATGTATACACCTGGGGTACTCTGTGCCCCTGGGGTACTCGGTGCACCTGGGGTACTCGGTGCACCTGGGGTACTCGGTGCACCTGGGGTACTCGGTGCACCTGGGGTACTCGGTGCACCTGGGGTACTCTGTGCACCTGGGGTACTCTGTGCACCTGGGGTACTCTATGCACCTGGGGTACTCTATGCACCTGGGGTACTCTATGCACCTGGGGTACTCTATGCACCTGGGGTACTCTATGCACCTGGGTACTCTATGCACCTGGGGTACTCTATGCACCTGGGGTACTCTATGCACCTGGGGTACTCTATGCACCTGGGGTACTCTATGCACCTGGGGTACTCTATGCACCTGGGGTACTCTATGCACCTGGGGTACTCTATGCACCTGGGGTACTCTATGCACCTGGGGTACTCTATGCACCTGGGGTACTCTATGCACCTGGGGTACTCTATGCACCTGGGGTACTCTATGCACCTGGGGTACTCTATGCACCTGGGGTACTCTATGCACCTGGGGTACTCTATGCACCTGGGGTACTCTATGCACCTGGGGTACTCTATGCACCTGGGGTACTCTATGCACCTGGGGTACTCTATGCACCTGGGGTACTCTATGCATCAGAGGAACCCATATTTATGAAACCCTTCCCAATTCATAAACCATCCTACTTACTTCACATAACCAAATATTACAAAATATAACATTTTCAACCATTTCCACAAATGTAGTTCAATGGCAAATGAAGACCAGAGCAGCTAAAACAACTCGAAGGATAAAACTGCCTAAATTTACTGCACTGGCAGCAGTGTAGTGAATGATGCAGAGTGAAGAAGCAGCCAGTACTAAGAGTGCAGGCTGACTAGTGAATGATGCAGAGTGAGTGAAGAAGCAGCCAGTACTAAGAGTGCAGGCTGGACTAGTGAATGATGCAGAGTGAGTGAAGCAGCAGCCAGTACTAAGAGTGCAGGCTGACTAGTGAATGATGCAGAGTGAAGAAGCAGCCAGTTCTAAGAGTGCAGGCTGACTAGTGAATGATGCAGAGTGAGTGAAGCAGCAGCCAGTACTAAGAGTGCAGGCTGGACTAGTGAATGATGCAGAATGAAGCAGCAGCCAGTACTAAGAGTGCAGGCTGGACTAGTGAATGATGCAGAGTGAAGCAGCAGCCAGTACTAAGAGTGCAGGCTGGACTAGTGAATGATGCAGTGAGTGAAGAAGCAGCCAGTACTAAGAGTGCAGGCTAGACTAGTGAATGATGCAGAGTGAAGTAGCAGCCAGTACTAAGAGTGCAGGCTGGACTTGTGAATGATGCAGAGTGAAGCAGCAGCCAGTACTAAGAGTGCAGGCTGGACTAGTGAATGATGCAGTGAGTGAAGAAGCAGCCAGTACTAAGAGTGCAGGCTGGACTAGTGAATGATGCAGAGTGAAGTAGCAGCCAGTACTAAGAGTGCAGGCTGGACTTGTGAATGATGCAGAGTGAAGCAGCAGCCAGTACTAAGAGTGCAGGCTGGACTAGTGAATGATGCAGAGTGAAGGAAGCAGCATCAAGTACTAAGAGTGCAGGCTGGACTAGTGAATGATGCAGAGTGAAGTAGCAGCCAGTACTAAGAGTGCAGGCTGGACTGTGAATGATGCAGAGTAAAGCAGCAGCCAGTACTAAGAGTGCAGGCTGGACTAGTGAATGATGCAGAGTGTGAAGTAGCAGCCAGTACTAAGAGTGCAGGCTGGACTTGTGAATGATGCAGAGTGAAGCAGCAGCCAGTACTAAGAGTGCAGGCTGGACTTGTGAATGATGCAGAGTGAAGTAGCAGCCAGTACTAAGAGTGCAGGCTGGACTAGTGAATGATGCAGAGTGAAGGAAGCAGCATCAAGTACTAAGAGTGCAGGCTGGACTAGTGAATGATGCAGAGTGAAGGAAGCAGCATCAAGTACTAAGAGTGCAGGCTGGACTAGTGAATGAATGGCTTCTTCCCTGCTCTAAGGATGACTCCCAGATACGGAGACCAGCAGTGCTGGACACCGCAAGACATTAACCCTACCTCTCCTTCCCTCCCTCCCTCTCCCTCTCCCACAAATGGCAAGTGTAGGGAGGGAAGGAAGGTGAGAGGAACAGTAACTAGGACATGCAGCAGGAGCGGCGACGGCAACATCACACCACACACCAATATTTCCCCCACTTCCCGCACCATCACCACAGGAAGTCTTCTCTTCCTGCTCACCATACTCACCTCCTCTCCTCACGCCCCTCACACCACCGCCATGGTGCTACCTCCACGGTAACCACCTATACATTAAAGATCGACTCAAAATAAATCCTTAAAACGGCATAATTATGTGTGGGAAAACGCAGGGAGGAGGAGGGGCCGACCCATCCACCACAGCCGACAACTACAGCTGGGCTCAACTGCCCCGTTCTAAATCGATATCTTCCCTAAATATTCTAATTTCCCTTCCTCCTTATCACCGAGGCACAATCTCGAGTTACTGGGACAACTCGCCAAGAAACTCACCCCATTGCTCTTCCAATAACGTGCGATTTTCAAGTATATTCCATAGTTTCCACTGCAGATCACACGGAGCAGAGTCCACTAACCCCCCAGGCAACCCCTACTAGTGACTCCGCGGACTACCGCTATAGACGCCACAACACCCGTCACCTACTGCCCCGGTGAAAACAAAAGAGCATAGGTTTAGTAGTCTAATGGCTTTACTGGCGTCTATAGAGTCTTCATGCAGAGAGAAGGACATATATATTGGCAGATTTGAATCTTTTTACGATGAGAGTCTAAGAATTGTTATGATAGGGGCGGATCTTTGAGAAATCTGCAGCGTCAGTTATTGGCGAAAAACCTCTAAAACTGTTTTAACAAGAATAAGAAATGCTGATAAGAAAATACCAGGATCACCGCCGGCCGATCAATAAAGCGCTAATCTACACCAATGCAGCTGTCTGCAACACAGAGAGGATTCGAGGCTCGCATATATGAAGGACCATATATAAATTACATATATCCTATATTATAAGATATAGTATAAGTTATATATTTATAAGCAATAAAACGAACAAGTAAACGGTAGCTGCAACATACATACGCTAAATTAGGCAATACACATTTCCATCCTCTGAAAATTATATAGTATTACCTTATAAGGTAATTAATCTGCGTATTTTTTAATTTTAATGGAAAAAATGATTTAAGACGCAACGATATATGTCTAATGATCATAATGCCAGGATAAATCCTACTTACCATAATCAAAACATTTGCTATAGTATATTCCAAGCCTCCAAGGGAGTCAGTATGAGGAAATAATATATATAATATTTTTTTGAAATTACTTCGAAAGGGGGGTGGCGACTATCGACAAGCCGCCGGCTTTCTGTCCTCGTCGAAGCCACTACTGTTAGTGGCCCTCGGGTAAATTCAGGTAAATAATATTTATATGTTATTTCAATATAAGGAAATAATATTAAGAATAGGCACTAAATCTACATCATATAAAGACTGTTTAAAAGGGCAGTGATCTATGAGGTGGCCTCGAAATGCAACATGACTGTAATAACAACAGATCTGCTGATGATGTTACTGAAGTCATGTCACACTTCAAGGACGAAACCCAATCAGAGTTGTATCGAAGCTTCCATACAACTCTGATTAGGTTTCGTTGCTTTCAGCAAATTCTATACAAGAGTTTCCCCCGTTGTCAAACCTGCACGTATATTAACTTAGGCTTATCGAGCTTACCCTAAACCATTTACTGACTTTTCCCACAACAGTTGCCCGACTCCCGGTGAACAGAAGCATCAAGTGAAGGGAAATTTGCCCAACCATATTTGTCTTACGTCTCATTTATATCGTGGCCACGGCGGGGACAGGAAGTCGAGCGCTTGTCAAAGGTTCCTATTTTTCTTATAATGTATTTTAACTTGATTTTTGAACTGCATTAATATATTGGCATTTACGGTTTCGCCGAGTAGGCGGTTCCATGGGTTCATAACCCTATGAGAGAAAATGCATCTTTTATTTTCTATCCTACAGATTTCCTACAGATTTCCTATCCTACAGATTTACAGAAAAGACTGTTTGTTGCCCCATGTATGTGATGCAATTGACCTTTTAAAGAAGTGGTCTGGATTAGTGTCCTCCAACTTCAGTATTTTAAACGTTTCTATATCAGTCTTGTGATGTCTGGTTTGCAGTATTGTTAGTCGTGTGGCCCTCAACCTACCTGGTATTGAAGTCAACTTAGTTCTGGAATAATTTGTGTGGCTCTGCGTTGTACTTCCTTCAAAGCCGATATGTCCTTCTGAAAAAGAGATCTCTATGCTTGGATACAGGAGTCCAAACGGGGGTGCACTAGAGATGTGTACATTGCATAACCACTTTCTTTTCTTTGAAGACGATTTCTAGGGTTTAGGTTGGTCTTTTTAACTGCAGCTCTCACTTGTGCAACTTTCAACGACTGATGGATTCTGACTCTTTTCGTCAATCTTCTGCATAGTAGTGTTATTAGTTTGATAGTTGTGATGTGTATTTTATGAACATGCAAGGTCTTGCATTTTCAATATTTAAGAGCATTTGCCAGTCTTCCGACCCTTTACGAAGTTCATATAATTTTTTTGCAAGGCCTCAATATAATTTTCGCATTCTATTTTATCATAAATCTTAATGTCATCTGCATAATTGCAAAGTTTTGTAAATTTGTTGGGTAACTTGGTAAATTTGACAATGAGGTTCATAATATGTAGTTGAAAAGGAGTTTCACTGGTAGACGCAGCTCATGACAGCTTCTTTACCTCTTTGGAACGAATTCCATCCACACCTGGGGGTTTCTCGAACCCATTAATTTGTCAGTTCTCTTCCTGATTGTTTCAGACGATACGGAAATCTACTTCAATTCAGTTTCTTCCCGTGGCAAACATTTGTGTGGGTAATATGGTGTTGTTTAATCTTTCAAGACTGAACACTGAGAAAGTATTCATGCAAAGTGTTGCCTGTCTTTGTATCATCAGTTATAATTTTGTTGGTCTCTAAGGGACCTACTAAGTCTTTTGTCTTGGTTTTAGTTCTTATGTAGGCATAAACAATCTTTGGATCATTCTTAATGTTATGGGCAAGTTTTCTTTCATAGTTCCTTTTGGCTGCTTTGATTTCCTAAGTAGCTGAATTTAATGCCCTCCTGTATATCTTACCCGGGAATTGAACTCGGCTCCCTCGATTGTGAGTCGCGGACGTAGACCACTGTGTTACAAAATCAAAGTCTTTATTTGGTAGCATTAATTTATCCGAATTTACCTGAGGGCCACTAACACTAGTGACCTCGATGAAAACAGGAAACTGGCGGCTTGTCGAGGGTCACCCCATTTGCCTTGATGATCTTTCCCAGTTGTACTTTAAAATTTGACAGTTTTGACATTTATGGGTTCGGCGGGTAGGCGGTTCCATTGGTTTATAACCTTGTGGGTGAAAAAGCATCTCCTATTTTCAATCCTATATCGTGGTTTGATGAGCTTGAAACCATTGTTCCTTGTTTGTGTTACATCTGACCTTTTGAAGAAGTTGTCTGGATCAACATCCTCCAAATTGTTAAGTATTTTAAAAGTTTTGATGAGATCCGCCCTGTCATGTCTAGTTTCCCTGTTGTTAGTCCCTGTGGCCCTCAATCGTCCCTAGTATGGGCGTCCACGCCCAACCACTTGCGCTGGACGGTAGAGCGTCATACAGCTAGGTCGGCGTTCAATCCCCGAGCGTCCAATTGGTTGAACACCATACTTTACCCCTTATACCATACCTTTAACCTGATCCCTTCAATGTGCTATATAGTCGTAGACTCGTGATGGCTTGGTGCTTTCGGTTTACAGGCTCACCATAGCCCGTGCTACATAGACATTTCGTTATGAGTAGTTAAATCTAAAATAACAACAACAATTCTTTCTCCATAGCTCCGCTCCTGTGCCAGGTAAGTCCAATACGGACTCACAATAGCCCGTGCTACTTGGAACTTTTGTTCCTAGTAGCTGAATCTTAAACAACAACAACAACAACTCTTTCTCCTCATATTTCCCTTCTCTTTAGTGTTGAACTTTCTCCAAAGGAGTTCTTTTTTAATATTAGATCTCCATGCTTGGATACAATATTACAAGTGTATATGTATTACTTAATTAACAATTATATTTATGTGTGAGCACCGCATATAATATAAAAGAATACAGTTACAACAAATCGTAAGGATTAATGGGGATTATAGACGGGCCCATTGCACAAATGACGGACTTCCTGTCCCTACCCTACCGAGGCCACTAGAGATTGTGATAAAAATTCAGGTAAAACATAACTAAACACAGAGGACTCAATGTTGGTGAAAAGTTCTACACTATTTATATGATTATATTTACATAAACAAGACAAAACATCAAACTATACATTTGATAATATTAAAAACAGATTAATAAAATATCTGTTATATGTAAATGAATGCATTATAAAGTAAGTACAGTACTCAGTACTATGTTTTTAAATAATAGAGTAGGACCGTAGTGCGTGGCGGGAGCCAGGCCTCCCCGCTGTAAACAAACACCACAAATGGCGGCCAAGGAAGCCAAGCCAAACGATCTCCTCAAGAACGATGCTGATGCAGCCGGCGCAGACAAGGAGAACGAGCCTCTCTTGGTAGCTGATGGCGAGAAGAAGAGGGAGGAACGTGAAGATGGGAAGAACGAGGGCGATGACATCAAACTTAACATTGGGGAGCAATATATGGTTCGCCGCGCTGACGATACTTGGCGTAGGTGGATTGATTTTATCCTTGTTGCATGAGTATGGGCTTCATTTTGTACGTTTTTACTTATCAGATTAACGTACTGTATTTGTTTATGTAATGTTTGATAACAAAGTCAAGTGAAATTAAGTTCTGAGGCACAACTTACAATTTGACACGAGTGCATTGCTTATTTCTTATTGCAAGTAGTGGTAGTGAACAATGATGACAGGTGACATCAATAGCAGTAGTGAAGGGAAGTGTATGAGAAGAGTTTGTCAGCATTTGCATTTAAGTATGTTTATGCAGCAAGGTATACGAAAGCAGCAATGCCGTGGCTATTTTCATACCTGTAGAGGGTTTCAGGAGTAGTTCTACTCCCCGAGCCCAGCCTGTGGCCAGATGTTATCTGTTGTACCCAAATAAGTATCCTGCACTAAAGTTAACCCTGTGGTTATGAATGTATCAGTGTTAAACTGTTATCATTATGCAGGATACAAACCAGGCTTATGGTAACAAATACAGGATATTTTGTATACATTACTATTCAGAAATGAATTTGTTGTTGTACTGTTGTTGTATTAAAACCTATCTAAACTAACTAAAGCAAAGCTAACATATAATTGAATCCAAGAGTCACACACTCACCTCACACCTCATAAGTAATATTAGCCAGGGTTTCAGACCTGGAAAGGGGAGGGCAATTAGGACCAATAGGAAGAGTATATCTTAATGAAAACTAATAGAGTAAGGCTTTAGGTAAGCTGTGGTATGGAGTGCTCTTAAGCCTGCTGAATCAGAAATCATGTGCTCCTGTAGTCACTTGTAGAAAAAAAACTATAGTATCAGCTGAAATTTTACTGATACCTATATCAAAACAGCCAAACTAGGGCAAGAACACTGATATTTTAGCACACTTATTTTCCACTTTAAGAAATATGAATGTTGTAAGACATGGGTGACCATTCCACTCTGATAGAGGGATAGTAATATTCCTCCGTTTTTTCATTTAGAAGCAGCCGAGATCATCCAGAGACGATACAATGATGTCGAGATGCAGGATGAGTATTACGTGCACTATGATGGCCTTAATCGCCGACTGGATGAATGGGTCACTAAAGAGAGGTATAATCATAAATGTACTGAGTAATAGTGCATGCCAGTGAAAGATTTCAGTTTCAAATTTGGGCTTAGTGCCGAGATTTCACTGGGGCTAAATTCAGTGTTTAGATAACATAAGCATATTAGAATATAAACGAAACTACAGAAGGCTTATTGACCTATGTGAAGCAGCTCATAATTATACCCAGCCAAGCTCATTCATATGTACAGTATGTTTTAACCTCTACATGAAACCATTCTGCATTTTCACATCTATTATTTTAGCTGGTAATTTTTCCATAAATAAAGAGTCATGTTTCTGAACCAATATTTACCCAGGCCTATTTTGTACTTTTTTAATACTGTGCAGTGTATAGTATTAGAGCTCCTCTTAGTATATTAGAGTATTAGTCCTGTTTCTGAACCAATTTTTACCCAGGTCTATTTTGTATGTTTTTAATACTGTGCAGTGTACAGTATTCGAGCTCCTCTAAGCTAACCAATCATGTGTACTATAATGTGGTTCAGCCAAATATTATATAACTATTTTGCATGATATCAATTACATTTTTGATGTTATCAAACTTAACATTAAAATATGTATTATATTCCAGAATTGACCTGTCAGAATTGTATCAACGAGGAGACAAAACACTTACAGGGAATGATCTCCTCAGTGACCAAACAGCAGGCCGCAAGATTACAAGAAATCAAAAACGAAAGCATGATGAAATTAACCATGTCCAAAAAGTAAATTGGCACTGAATGTATTAATTTTATGTGAACAAAATATTTTGAATGTGTAGATAGTTCAGTTTATACTGTAATTAGTTTTCCTTTCATCTGCCTGCTGAAAGTGAATTAATCACTTCTGCTTAATATAATTGCTTAATATAGAATTTTATTAAGAGCTTATATTAGGCTCTTAGTCTGCTATTCTATTAGCAGACTGCTTATAGAATATGTTGTACTGCTAATATGTAAGTGTATATTAAGCAGCAAATTAGTAAATCTAATTTTATCTTGAAAATTTTTCCTGATAAAGTGGACAGTGGAAATGAAAAAAAAAATCAAGTCTACTGTTGAGAGGGAAATATTTTGGGATGAGATTTAAAATTACAGTATACTGAATTAAATTAATTTGGATATATAATGATTTTAAAATATTGAGCTACCTACTTTTGCATGAAATTATTCAATGCTAAGTGTGATGTTGATTATTTTCAGACATATGCAGATATGGATCCAACTACTGCTGCTTTAGAGAAGGAACATGAAGCTATCACAAAAGTAAAATATATTGATAGAGTACAGATTGGCCGATTTGAAATTGATACCTGGTACTTCAGCCCGTACCCGGAAGAATATGGCAAGGTCCCTAAGTTATACATTTGCCAATATTGCCTGAAGTACATGAGACTGGAGAAAACATACAGATATCATTTGGTAAGTTTTTAGAACTGCAGGAACATACAATATGCATTTGTACTGTATAAAAGACATTTATATCACTTTCATGTCTTAAATGTCTATTTAGTCTTATAAATGTTATCAAATATATATTGTTACCTAATATATATATTTTCCAATAATTTATGATTAGGTGACCTTATCAAAGCATACACTAGTATTACTTTGATTGACAAAGAATTTGCTAGGATGTTGCTTGATATGTCTCCTTTTCTGTGGATAGCTCCTTTGGCTCCCTGGAGCTATACCGGCCTGATGTGTATATATTAGACCGTGGCAATAGTCAATCAATGGAGTTTTAGGCCTACCGGAGACCACGAGCCAGAACTTGGCCCCCCCTCAGAGAGGCACGAGGAGTAATGACTTATAGACACCCCCATATACAATGGCGCCTCAACGAATTTAATCCGTTCTGGTACCGAGCTCATCATGTGGAAAACTCACTTTGCGAAACAAAAACAACACTGTCGTCAGAGGTGTCCGAGAACCAGCAGGAACACTCGTTAATCGAGCGAAAGCTCATCAGTCGAGACATATTTTCTGTGAGTGACTTGCTCGTTACACGAAATGCTCGTAACTGGAGTCGCTCGTCACTCGAGGTTCCACTGTAGTTGGAAACAGTCTATATCTGCCATCTACCAGGTCAGGCACCCAGAAAGGTAGGAATCCTAAAACAAACTACAGCTGTTTAAAATTGCAAATTGTAAGCCGAACTAGCAAGCAGAACTCCCCAATCTGAAATCAAGAAAACAAGCATGACGTCACCACAGCTGCCGCGCCACAGTCTGAGTAGCTCCCCCCTCCCCAGGAGGGGGGGAGTCCCAGACTTCCCATGCCAGCTACCCAACCCCAGTTCTGAGGCTGTTGTGTTGGGTGGTGGTTAATCGACTCTGACTCCAATCCTTGAGCAGTGCTGTGCCTTATGGTGATGTGCTGCAGTGTGGTGATGTGCAAGCCAGGTGTAATTCCTGAAGTACTAGGGGCTGCATGTACCTAGGGACCCCTTCCCTAGATGCACTGTAAGAACTGCCCTTGCAGTTTGGGGTTACCTTCCACAAACTGTTCGGGAATTGCCTTTGCAGAGTTCTTTTACTGCTTGGTGATTGCCTGCCCTTGGGGGTCAGCTGGGCTTTTTTCCTACCACTATTTGACCTTGGGTAGGAGGTAATATCGTCGCTGGCAGGGGCACAAGGTACTGTACAGCTGTCATATATTACGCATAGTGGCCGGTTCTGTTCTTCCTGGAGACGTGCTTTTGCAGGGAGTTTATTTACTTTTGTTTTGTTTTGTTTTGCCTGGTGGGGGTCTGCCTGGTGTGTGGCTGTAAGACCACTTGTATTATTTGGGTGGCCCTCTGCTAGGACCCCGTGATTGCCATGTTGCAGGGGTTCAGCATTTTGTTTGTTTGGAAGTTTTGGGATAACCGTTTAGCAGTACCATGCCTGGGCTTTCCTTAGCAGTCAGTCTAAGGGCCCTGGAAACCCCCATTGGAGCTCATTGGTCCAATGGATGCATCCTCTGAGACCCATCTCGCTTTGTGCGAGTTTAAAGGTTTCTCTGTTCCCCTGTCTCAGGGTGACACTCATTGTTTTTGCCTCTGCCATGCTGCCTGTTGGGTCAATGACATCTTTGACCTGGAGTCCTGCGAATGGTGTTCCTTGCTGGTATGGCCAGGGTTGATGGGGTCTGTTCTTCCATTGGACTCACAGCACGGCGCGGGAAGTAGCAGCGGTGTGGCATTTGCTTCAGAGGGTTCGTGTCACTTGTGGAGCAACGATCCGGCTCCATTCGAACTGCTTCCCTGTGGGTTATTGTCTGAATTGTGGGGGTGCGATACGGTCCTTGGCTCTTTGGGGCTGGTCGCTTGGGGTGACTCATCTGTTGAGTTCTTGGGGTTTGGTTTTCCTGGCGGTTCATGTCCAGGGAGTGTCCAACATATTGGTGGACGGCCTGTCCCATTTCATTTCCCTGTCCAAGGAATGGATAGTCAACGCTGACTCGTTCTGCTGGCTCTGCCGGATTTTTGGGTGCCCGGACGTGGACCTCTTCACGTCAGCTTGGTTGAGGCTTCTTCCAGTATATGCGAGACAGTTGGGGGTCAATGCCTTTCGACTGGAATGGTTGAGGTGGGGTTACCTGTACCTCCCTACCCCCTGTTTGGTTGTTGCTTCAGGTCCTGACTTGCTTGGAGACTTACCAGGGGGAAGTAGTCCTGTTGGCTTAATGGTGGCCAGCCCAACCTTGGTTTCACGCGCTGCTTGCTCGGTGTCTTAACTTGAGGTTTTTTGAGCTGTTTCCTGGGGGTGTGTAACAAAAAAGGAGGCCTGGTCGAGGACCGGGCCGCAGGACACTAATCCTCAAAATCATCTCAAGATAACTTCAAGAAGATAAGATACCTCCTGCGCGACCCGAATTATGCCTCTGTTATGGATCCGTCATCTTTTAGGTTTGGGACGTCGTTCCCTTTCTGGGTCCGTTATGAGGTTCTGGAGCTGTCCTGGTTGGCGGACTGTCCTGTGTTTGCTTTGGAGGCTTTGCATTTCTTCTGTCGTTCCCTCTCGCTTGAGTGGCGCGAGGCTTCAACGGTGGTTCAGGTTTTCCTGGGGGGAGGGGGTGGACGACCTTGAGCACCTCAATGAGTACTTGTTTGCCCCTGCCCTCTCCTGGGATGTTATAATAACAATAATACAGTAATAATAATTTATTTAGGAACAGTACATACATAGTTGCAGAATTACAGTACAAACATTCTGTTAGATTTAAAGATAGAGGTAGTACATACAATACCTAAAGCCACTAGTACGCATAGTGTTTCGGGATGTTGGCGTCGCGCAGCTATATGTGCAGGTTTCCTCCCTTTCGGTGACGCAGGTTGCTGAGGACTTGCGCGCCCGAGGCCTCTTGGCTTCGGCCTTGCTTTTCTTTTCCCTTCTGGAGCTGTCTTTGGACTGGCTTGAGGAGGATGTGGGGACTTGGGGCAGTTCCTGGGTCTGGTGCCTTGGGCTCGGCGGCTCGCTCATCGGCTGTCTTGTTGAAGCTCTTTGTGCCGATCCTGCGGGAAGCGGTTTCGCTGTTTTATGCTTCCTGGCTTGCAAGGCGGTGCTTGCCACCTCTCTGGAATCAGCCTGGACTCTGGCTCTTAGGATGTCCTCTCCTTTTTGTCCTCTGCTTTTTGCGGATTCTGCCGTGGTGCAGTATTTGCAGGCTTCTTCTGCTAGTTGCCACTGTATGTCTAACTTGTTGGTTCTCCCGGGGGTCCCGGAGGGGTCGTGCCAGGGCTCGTGGTTCCTCTCATCGAGGTAGGCCGTTGGTGCCAGTTTCGGGTCCGGCCCTGCCTTCGGACCCACCTTTGTATGGTCGGCGAGGTGTTCGCTCTGTGCAAGGTTCAGGGACTCGTAAGGGGCGCCGGACCTTTCGCGGTTCGCCCCATTGACGGGGCAATGGGAGGGGAGGCTTGCGCTGTTCGCTCGTGCCTGATCCCACGATTTGTAGGCGTTTGGGTCGTTTCCTTCAACCTTTGGTGGTGTTGGGTGGCCCCTCCTCTGTCGGGGGGTTCTGGGCTGGCGGGGCAGGCCTCTCTCCCTGCGCTCTGTCGAGTCGTCATGGAGTGGGTGTGACTTTGCGGGGTCGAAATGACGACATCCCTCAGTACCAGTACTGAGGGACCAGTACCAAAATGGGACTGTGCAGATGTGAGGTTCATTCTGGACTTGTCCCGTCTGAACCCCTGGGTTCATTGCCCTTCCTTTCAGATGACTACGCTGTCCCAGGTTCAGCTCCTGTTGGCGCTGGGCTCTTGGATGGTGTCGCTGGACCTCCGGGATGGTTATTGGCACATCCCGATTCATCCGGGGTTCAAGGACTGGCTCGGTTTTGTTGTGGGGCGTCGGGGTTACTGCTTTTGTTGTCTCCCATTCGGGTTGAACCTGGCACCTCGCTTGTTCACATGTCTTACCCGGGTTGTCGTGGCCTGTCTGCGTCTGTTAGGTGTTCGGGTGTTGGCCTACCTCGACGACTGGCTGGTTTGGGCTCCCAGCCGGTCCTCTTGTCTGCTAGTCAGGGATTTGGTTCTTTCCCAGCTTGCTGGGTTCGGGTTCGGGTTCTTGGTGAACTGGAGGAAGTCTCATCTGGTTCCCTCCCAGGTTCGGACCTGGCTGGATCTTGTGTGGGACTCTCGGACCGCTTCCTAGTCTCTTCCTCTGGAGTCTCTCCTACGGCTGTGGTCCCGCATGCGCCTGTTTCTGGGGGGCTCCCGGGTCACCCGGCAGTTGCTCGAGGGTCTGTGCAGGAGCCTGAACTTTATGATGATGGTTTACCCGCTGGGTCGGGTTTGGCTTCGTCGACTGTTCTGGTTCCTTCGGGGGACATCCCTTTCACCTCTCTCGCAATCGCTGGGTTCGGCCCCTGGGGGCATTGCGCCTGCTGCTGTGTCGCTGTCTTCCTCTTTTGGTTTTTCGGGGTTCAGTACCTTGGCGCCTGCCCAAGCCTTCTCTTGATGTGTTCACGGACACTTTGTCTCTCAGCTGGGGCTTTGTGACTAGCGCTCACCAGGCCGGTCAGGGACGGTGGGGTCCGTCCCTCCGTCGAGCCCAGTGCACGATGCGGGAGTTCGCAGCGGTGTGGTTTGTTCTTCGGAGGGTTCGGGTCGCCTGTGGATCGACGATCCGGCTCCATTGGGACTGCTCCCAGGTGGTTCATTGCCTGGACCAAGGGGGTTCGATGCGGTCCTTGGCTTTTTGGTACTGGTCGCTTTGGGTGACTCATCTGCTGATTTCTCGGGGTTTGGCTCTCCTGGCAGTTCACGTTTGGGGAGTGTCCAACGTTTTGGCAGACTGCCTGTCTCGTTTCGTTACCCTGTCCACGGAATGGACAGTCGACGCCGACTTCTTCCATTGGCTCTGCTCTGCCAGACGTTCGGGCACCCCGAGGTGGACCTCTTTGCGTCGGCGTGGTCGCGGCGTCTTTCCCTGTATGTG